TCGGCAGCAGTGAGGCGAAATTATGCCAATTCTCAAGTTGCGACTCATTCGACGAGACCCGGCCATACATTCAAACTTGATGAGGCCGAAATTCTCACAAGAGGTGACAATCGAGTGAGCCGAGAATTACTTGAGTCATGGTTCACGGGTTCCCAATCCATCAAAAAATACAATGATTTACCCAATCCATATTCGATGTTGAGACTAAATTTTGCCAAAGCAAATCGCCATTCGTGGAACAGATGGGTCACCACATCGTCTTATGCCAACACCGCAAGGCTAGATGGTTATGGCCGACGCGACGAATCAGAACACACCCAGGATATTTATCGATTTTTTTCTGTACGTTTAAATTTTACGGCGGAACTCTGTGCACAAAAACTGTTTCCGCTACGGTTCTGTGAGTATGTCTCTGAAGATGAATCCGCGACGGATATCGAAACGTCAGGCAAATAAACATAGTGTCCCAGCGATCGAGTTGTCTTCTACTTCGCAATTACTTCCTTGGACTCGCATGTTTGCTTGTATTGACAATTAATCTGTTTGATTCTCGACCTTGGCCCCATAGCCAATTGCTCAAAGTGATGTTAAGTCGATGTATTTTATGACGAGAGTACATTTCCAATTTGCGCCTGCTTTGGCTTCTAAAGAAAAGAATATGCATGGTATCTGGGCTGGCTTCCGTCGGCATGTGTCCCGCGCTTACCTGTCTATCGCTCCGTCCCACCCGCAGACTGGATTTCGACAGTTGGAATCTAACAGTCGCTCTAAAGGAGTCCTTACAGCCTCGACCTTAGCCCCAAAGGCCGAACTATTCTGCCAGTTGAAAAAAAGAAGTGAACACAGAATCTACCCCTATTCTTCCCAAAGCGGGATTGGGGTGGGCTCAGGGGGCTGGTAAACCTTCGTCCCACTCATACAGGCTTTTCATTCTAAACAAGCCCGACCTCACACACTCTTATGCGTACGGCTTTGTAGAACACGCCACTAAGGGACCAACATCTTGTTGTAGCGACCGAAGTCATCAAAAATGCCCATATCCAACCAGGTCAGGTCAGGTTTTATTAGGAAAATATGGGTAAATACCTTTGAACTCCCTCTTTGTACAGAGCAGCTATGATGCAGAACATGTGGCGTTGCCAGTAATGGAACTGCGTTAGAAGGGCAGACAGTGAAAAAACTCCTTAGGCATTGTTCATAAGTCCAGTTTTGAATGTGTTTCAACTTCTACCGTCAAGTCGGTATCCCTGTAGGCCCATGTCCATTTTTATGCGTTACGTGAACTGTTTCTATTCCATTTGTAAGCCAAGGGTTTAACTAGGTGAGGACCACTTTTTATAACCTAGGAAGTACACCAAACTGGCTCCATCAAAACGTGTTGTTGCCTTCATTCCGCCCAGATTAAGATACCTTAGGGTGTCCAGCTCGGATGAGCTTGCCGTCATGAGACAAAATTGGCGAAAGTTTCAACTTGGATCGTCACTAAACTGTTTCAAAGGCTGACGAACTCGTGACAATAAGGTAACTGTGAAGTTAGTAATTAGTACCCAACGTTGTGCTTATGCCAGCTCCAAGTTCGAGAAGATATGCGCCTATGTCTTGTGAGGTCGCTTAATCCCAGTGCCCTCGTTTTCAGCATACATACTGAACTGGCACCTTCCTCAAATATCCGACACGTTTTCTCATTTTCGCACTTTGGGTTTTGTGTGTTTTTCTGATTGTTATCCAGTTTTTTCAGCGTGAATATGTTCACCAGTCGTCGAAAAGTCTGTCCTGGACGTACAAGCCTTTGCTCATCGTATTTCTGTATGCAATTGTTGTTGTCCTCGCGAGCAGAAAAACGAATTCACCATAAATCTTTACTTTGTTATTAAACTAATCACATTAGACGGATAGTCAGTTAAAGATTTTTAATCTGTTTGCATGCGACAGTTTAGACGTCCTGTTGACCTGGATCCTTTCTGGCGTAAGACGTACTTAACCTGGTTAGGTCATGACCTGAGTCACCTTGCCAACAGAAGTGTTAAGTCCGTGCAGTGTACGACAAAGATGTATTGTTGAAGTGCAAGTGATTTGGATTCTAAATAATAAAATTTACGCGGTCTCTGAACTGGCTCCCGTCTGCGCATGTCACGTGCTTGCCTGTTTCTCATCTCCCTCCCCCTCCTCTCCGCGGACTGAATTTCAAGAGATGGCATCTACCGATAGTGCGACTTGCTGTAAAAGTGTCATCACAGCCTAGTTCTTAGTCCCGAGGGCAGAATTATCTTGGCAGTTGCAAAAATGAAGTGAACATAGAGTCTACCTCATTCTTCCGAAAGCCATCGTGCCCTACCTACAGGATAAGGTCGAGTGGATTAGGGTGAATTCAGGGGGCTGGCAAAACCTTTCCTCCTACGCATACTGGTTTTTAATTCGGTACCAGCTTGCCGTCGCGCCCTCGTATTCGTACGACATTGTATTAACGTCTCAGTTCAATGCAGCGACAGTTATCTAGGACTCGCGTCTAAGCACCCATTTACTGCGCCAATGGATAGTCCATCAAGTCAAGTGCTGTGCTTTTTTAAACTTACATAAGTTGGTCTATAGTGAATACAGTTGCTCTGGATCCGATTATTATAGTTAAAGCGAGTCAACTGATGGCGCCTCAATAAGGACAGCCTACAGTCTTCTGTAGAGCACGCAGATTTCACCCTAGTATGCGCAGGCTGGAGTCATGACGACACGTCCGGGTTAGGCGTTTTTATCGGCCCGTTTAATCTGGGAAGATGCAGC